GTGCCGGGAACTGGTTAGACGCTAGAGATACCATTACGATGGTATCTGCTGATCAGTAGGTGCCGGGAACTGGTTAGACGCTAGAGATACCATTATGGATACTATTTACTGATCAGGAGGTGCCGGGAACTGGTTAGATGCTGGAGATACCATTACGATGGTATCTGCTGATCAGGAGGTGCTGGGAACTGGTTAGACGCTGGAGATACCATTGCGAACAAGACAGAAACAGTTCCTGCTCTCCGGTATATGGCCTGGCAGGTAGACAGGCACTGAACGACTAATGGTGGCCATCATTAAGTGTTAGGAAGAAAAATGCGAGGCATTCTGGGGATTTGCAACAGGGCATCCTGTCCTGGGCACAGGAGAGCTCTCCTTGAAGAAGTGATGGCCTAGCTGAGGTCTTTAAGGATGAACAAGAGTGGGATACTCAAAATAGAGTGTTGCAATGAAAGGTGCTGAGTAGAAGAATCTTAGTCCTTTGAAAGAATGAAAATTAGATGAAAGGTGCTGAGTAGAAGGATCTTAGTCCTTTGAAAGAATGAAAATTAGACAAAAGGTGCTGAGTAGAAGGATCTTAGTCCTTTGAAAGAATGAAAATTAGACAAAAGGTTTCAGCGAAGTCCTCGTTGTTTTATTTGAATTGGGTGAGCTCGTTTTCTTCTAGCAAACCATTCCTTTAACAGAGTTGTGTTGTTTGTTAATCACGTTGAACACCTTTAGGTCAGGTTGCCAGAGCCGTGACACTAGCCGGTGTCTTGCCCAGGGCCCCGTAACTTATGGCTTTGGTCTGTTCCCCACTGCTGTCATTTCCGAAGCCTCTCTGAGTCCTCCAGTCCTCTGCTTTATGGCTGGTTGGCATCTCTAAATGTGGAGATGTATTTTTATCTTCAGTTGTGGCATGTCTTTGAAGATACATCAGTATTGCAGCTGGGTCGGTGGCTCTCGCCTGTAGTCCCAGCACTTTGGGAGGCTGAGGCGGACAGATGACCTGAGCTCAGGAGTTTGAGACCAGCCTGGCCAACATGGTGAAACTCTGTGTCTATTAAAAATACAAAAAAATTAGCCGGGCATGGTGGTGCATGCCTGTCGTCCCAGGCTACTCGGGAGGCTGAAGCAGGAGAATTGCTTGAACCCAGAGGCAGGGGTTGCAGTGGGCCGAGATCACCACTGCACTCTGGGCTGGGGGACAGAGCGAGACTTTGTCTCGGACAAACAAACACTATACCAGTTCCCCACCAGCTGATATCTGTTTCTTAGCCTTTTATGTGAAATACTGAAATACCTTTAATTTTTTCATAATCTGGAAAGAATTGAGGCCTGTTCCTCCTACCATAGAGGTCTGAGATTATATGAAATATTTTTATAAGGATAGGCTTTTAATAAAAGCCTTAGAAATGTATTTACTAAAAGACTTTGTGAAATGAAGGTTTTTCTAAAATTAGACTTTCTGTGTTGCTCCTTCAGCCTTCCTATGTTACGATTTTGTAGTCTTCTAACCTGTGATTAACATGACTGGATTCTTCAGCTCGGCTTTTCAGGGGTTATTTTCTCAGTTTAACCAGTTTGTTCCTCTTTCTCCTCCACAGCTCGAAAATGCAGAAAAATGATTTTCACAGGAATTTCACTACATCCCTAACTAAGAATACTGAGAGGAATATAAACTATACTGAAAGAGGAGTGTTCTTTAGTGTAGATTCCTGGACCCCGGTAAGAATTTTCTGCTCACGTTGAGAAAAAGGAATGCAGCTGCTTGTGATGTCTTCTTTCGCAGAGACCCTGGGTATTTATTTGTACCTTGAAAGTTACCTGTGGTGGGGTGTGGTGGCTGGGAGGCTGAGGTGGGAGGATCTCCTGAGGCCAGGAATTTGAGACTTATCTGGGCAACATAGGCCCTGTCTCTACAAAAAATAAATAAATGAGCTGGGTGTGACGGCTGTGCCTGTAGTCACAGCTCTTCGGAGGCTAAGGCAGGAGGATCGCGTGAGCCCTGGAGTTCGAGGCTGCAGTGAGCTATGATCATGCCACTGCACCCCAGCCTGGGCTTAGACATATGCCAGGCCAGCAGATACTCTTGGCATCCATATGTGGTTTGTTCTGGAACGCCCTGAGTCTGCTCCTCAGGGGCCTCTGTCAAGTCAGGATGACCCTGGGCCCCCAGGCCGGTCCTGCTTTGCCCTTAGTCCCAGGGATGTTGGCAGTGTTGAAGGCTCACTGTGCATAGCCCCATTGCGTATGAAATCCATCAATGAAGCTACCTATGAAGTGAAGACATTCTACTGGGGGGATATCAAATGAAAGACACAAGAACTCTGACGCTTAGAAAATTTCAATCTAAAAGGAGTGACAACTCCAAAACTAAGCATGATGTGAGCAGACTCCGACCAGCGCTGACTGCAGTAAACGGTGAGGTAAGAGCTCGCTAGATAGCACAGAGAGTGGGCGTCGTGGCTCACGCCGGGAATGCCAGCACTTCAAGTGGCGGAGGCAGGTGGATCGCTTGAGCTCAGGAGTTTGAGACCAGCCTGGGTAACATAATGAGACCCTGTCTCTGCAAAAAATACCAAAAAATTAAGTGAGCATGGTGGTATGCCCTTGTAGTCTTGGCTATTAAGGAGGCTGAGGTGGGAGGATTGCTTGACCCTGGAAGGCAGAGGCTGCCGTGAGCCGAGGCTGCACCACTGCACTGCAGCCTGGGTGTACAGCGAGACCCTGTCTCACAGAAAATCAAGGGAGAAAAGCTTCACCTTGAAAGCTGTCAGAGAGAGCAGGGTTCTTGCAGGAGGTGGCATTTGAGTTAGGCCTTGCACAGTAGGTAGTATTTAATCAGGGAGAGTACATTTCTGTTAGGGGGTTGGGGAAGTTTCAGGTGTTGGGAAATCTGAGAACTGTTAGTGCCTGGAACACAGGGCAAGGGATACGAACTACTGGGAGAGGCTTAGGAGGCAAAGTAGGCATTGGATTGTGGCTCCTAATGTCAGAGAAGGGTGTAGATACCTTTGTGAATGGGGTCTCTGGGAATTGGGGACGGGCCTGGTTTAGGTTTAATGATCCACTGTCACTGCCTTAAAATTCTGAAACAATTTTTTTGTTGGTTTGTTTTTGAGACGGAGTATGTCTCTGTAGCCCAGGCTGGAGAGCAGTGGCGTCATCTCAGCTCACTGCAATCTCTGCCTCCTGGGTTCAAATAGTTCTACTGTCTGAGCCTCCTGAGTAGCTGGGATTACAGGTGCCCACCACTATGCCCAGCTACTGTTTGTATTTTTAGTAGGGATAAGGTCTCACCATGATGGCCAGGCTGGTCTTGCACTCCTGAACTCAGGTGATCCACCAGCCTCAGCCTCCCAAAGTGCTGGGATTACAGGAGTGAGCCACCGCGCCTGGCCTTAATAATTTGTTAACAAAAGGCTGCACGTTTTAATTTTGCCAGGCCTCCTTAAATGATGTTGCTGGTCCCAGACCAGGGGGACATGACTCTATCAAAGCACATGTCATTTCGTCTTGCCATATTTGGATTTTCTCCTTTGAAAAGAAATGAATTGTCTAAAGAGGGAATTTATATTTGCAGTGTCTGTCATGGTGCCTGGCATACAGTAGGAGCTGATTAATTGCTTCCTGGATGAATGAGCAAGTCAGAGCTGGGCTTCAGCATGAGGCAGTCTGTGCATGGCCTGCCAGCGAGATTAGAGTGGGCAAAGCAGAAGGCGTAGTCATGCCGGAAAGAGCCCCGGAGCCTGTGCTTTCCCTCAGCCTGTGCCATCTGGGCTGCCTTAATGTTGTGAGCCGACTGCTCTGCTTGGAGCAGACTCAGCACGCTGTGTTTGGTCTCATGTCACTCTTGGGTAGATGCAGAGTTGTGTCCCCTTAACTTGGATGGAGGTAGTATCTGGCCAGCTTGCTCAGGGCGACTCTAGTTTGTGTTGTTGACTCTGCAGTAACCACGTTAAGAATGATTCAGCACCCCAAGCTGACCGGCTTGCTGTCCCCCTGATTCTCTGGTAGATGGCTCCTAGCACTGTGCGTGTGCCCTCTCAAGCCTGCCTGGCAGCAAATACAGCCACATCTCAACTTGGGTGTGATTTGGAGGATATCTTTGGCATCCTGGTGTTACTCCAGTTTGTTGGTTTAAAAAGTACATATATACACAAATAGAGTTCTGGTTGTAGAATGAAAGGACTTGTCTTTGTTGTTGTGGAGGCAGGGTCTCATTCTCTTGCTCAGGCTGGAGTGCAGTGATGGGATCTCTGCTCACTGCAACCTTGAACTCCTGGACATAGGTGATCCTCCCATTTCAGTCTTCCGAGTAGCTGGGATTACAGGTGTGCTCCATCACACCTGGCTGATTTTTTGTATGTTTTGTCAAGATGGGGGTTCACCATGTTGCCCAGGCTGGTCTCAAACTCCTAGGCTCAAGTGATCCTCCTGTCTCAGCCTCCTAAAGTGCTAGGATTACAGGTGTGAGTCACTGTACCTGGCCAGACTTGTCTTGTAAAAAATTTTAGTCCACTGGGCACAGTGGCTCATGCCTGTAATCCCAGCACTTTATGGGGCCAAGGCAGGTGGCTTGCTTAAGGTCAGGAATTTGAGACCAGCCTGGCCAACATGGTGAAACCCCATCTCTACTAAAATACATAAATTAGCTGTGTGTGGTGGTGCGCACCTGTAATCCCAGCTACCAGGGAGGCTGAGGCAGGAGAGTTGCTTGAATCCGGGAGGCGGAGGTTGCAGTGAGCTGAGATTGCACCACTGCCCTCCAGCCTGGGTGACAGAGCAAGAATTCTTTCTCTGCATGCTGGTCCCCACCTCTGAGGCTGTAACTCTCCCATCCCTCAGCATTAGCATAAGGCACTGTCGTAACTGCCTGTCGGACGGGATCGACGTGATCTTACTTGCTGATAGGAACTAATGTTCATTGTTTAGCACTTGTGAAAACTCACTTCCTTCATACACGTCCAATTCTTTGGCTAGGAAACAGTAGCTTTGTTGATGATGCCATGTGTCTTTACTGTCTGATTCTTTTATTTCAGGATTCTGTGTCCTTTATGTACAAGGCGTTGGAAAGGAACATCAGGACCATGTTCGCAGGTGACTCTGAGCTGTCACAGAAGCACGTCTCCAGCCCCTTGGCCTCTTACTACTTGTCGCTTCCTTATGCAAGGCTTGGCTGGTACGTTTAAGTTTATCTCACTTGTGAGTGTTTTCTTCAGTATTAACTTTATTCAGTCATTATGCAGCTGTTTTTTAATTTCATTTTATTTTATTTTTGAGACGGAGTCTCGCTTCGCTGCTCAGGCTGGAGTGCAGTGGCGTGATCTGGGCTCACTGCAACCTCCGCCTCCTGGGTTCAAAGGATTCTCTGCCTCAGCCTCCCGAGTAGCTGGGATTACAGGCATGCGCCACCACACCTGGCTAATTTTTGCGTTTTTAGTAGAGACGAGGTTTCACCATGTTGGCCAAGCTCATCTTGAATTCCTGGGCTCAAGTGATCCGCCCACCTCAGCCTCCCAAGGTCCTGGGATTACAGGCATGAGTCACAGCGCCCAGCCCTTTGCAACTGTTTTAAATGGCACGTGTTAGCACCTTGTTTGCCAATCAATTTATCAA